AAAATACAGTCACTCAGCATAGCAATAAGGTAACCACAAAAGATCAATAATGCAATACATTAAAATAATACAAATAATTCAATAACCTCTCTGCTCTGAATTGTTTCCTCTTTCAGAGCAGAAAACTATCACAGCTGAGTCTGGACAGAACATCACTCTGACATGTCGAACTCCGAATGACAACATCATAGTTACAGAGTGGAGCAGAGCCGATCTGGAGATGGAACATGTCCTCTTGTACCGAGATGAACAGTTTGATCCAGAAGAGCAGCATCTATCATTTAAGAACCGGGTGGATCTGCAGGACAGACAGATGAAGGATGGAGATGTGTCTTTGATTCTGAAGGACGTGACGATTAGTGACACTGGAACATACGAATGTCGCGTCATCAATGGAAGACCAAACCGCGGACGGGTTGCCCTTTTGAAGAACGAACCCATTTGCATCCTTTACCTGAGTGTTGTTGATCCTCCAGGTGAGTGAGTAGAGCTGAGTGTGTGTGTGATCAGAGGTGAAGCTGCTTCCTGGTTGTTGATGTTTGTTCCTAAACATGTTGCTGATGAGACTTTGTAGAAAGCAGCTGGTCTGAGTGATGTGATCAGAGTGCAGTAGATAATGTCTGACAGCAGTTTGAAGAGGAAATGGATTCTGTTCTGTTCTTCACTCATAACCTACCCGACAGCTGACACCTCACACCTGTTTCTCACCTGCAGGTCAGACAGGAGGAGACACAGAGGACGGATCTGTTGGACTCATAGTTAGTCTGTCTGCTTGTATCTGTCTTGCTGCTCTGGTTCTAGGTTTCTAGAGGAAACATAAAATTCTACAGGAAACATAAAATGTCTAGTTTGAATCTTAAGACAGATTGTCTCCAAAAGAAAACTCACTATGGTGGCTATTAAACCCTGGAGCTGGACCATAAACAGTCACTATGAGACCATATATAAACCATGTGTGAGGATGGTGTTAATGCAAAATGTGAATCATAGTGTTCCAGTCAGACATCAGTGTGTCTCTGCACAGCTGTAATTAAAATGTGTTCAGAGGGCCTCAGTGTCTGAATGGTTCCAGTTCAGCTCCATAACAGCAGCGTCCCTGGTTTGATTCCTGTGTTTCAGCTCATATCTGCCTCTCTCACTGAGGGG